TCCTTAGATGGCAAACCCCAGCTGAGCTCCAAAAAGGGTTTCTCCAGGGTTGGGGAGGAGGTGGATCAACACCTTGCTGTTGTGGCAGGGGGCGGGGCCTAGTCTCATAAGAATACCGAATGCTTCTGGATTTTAGCGGACAGTCAGGAACTGGGAAGTCATTGTAAGGAATCTCACTGCCCATCTTGGTGAAGGCCAGGCTTCATCCCAGGGTCTCCATCTTAGGGAAGGGGAAATCAGAATCTCTCATCTAAGAAGATTGATTGCTCAAGATCCAGTGAAGGATTGATTCCAGCGAGGGACTCACAGCCCAGCACCAGCCCACGTTCTCCTGAAGTACTTGGTACTAGTAGTAGGGTTGGTTTCACGTTTGATTTATTCACCATTGGCCACTTTTAAATCTCCATCCCACGATCAAGTGAATCTCATACCCACAGCCATGGACACACCATACCACACCCTTTTCACTTAGCCAGGATATATTACTGTAGCCAGGGTCCAATGCCACACTAACTAACATCATAACCTAAGCTGACAGATCTCAGAATGGGTTAAGTTCTCGAAGAAAAGAAAGGTTCCCAGACTGAGGGTGTAGCTCAAGGATCGAAAGCTCAGTGCTTGCCCCAAGTGCCCAAGGCCCTGGGTTTCATCTTCAGTCCCAGGGGAGTAGGGAAGTAAGGCTTTGTCCCAATGTATTGCGTGACCTTAGGTGAGTCGGTCACTTTCTGGGCCTCAGTTTTCTTACAGATCTGTAAAGTGAGCTAGCTGAATCACACTACTCATAAAATTCCTTGCACCGTTGACTGTCTGCCTGTACGCACTTGCTTCTTGAGGGTGCAAGAGAGGAAGTTAGATTGGGATGGGAGACTCCAGATGTACATCTCAGCAGAGAGAGAGAGAGAGAGTGGCCATGTCAGAAGTTTCCATTTTTTCCTTTAGAGCACAAATGGACGTGTTTTGGAAATCTACCTTTTCTCTGAGGGATGGCGATGACATAATTATTAGTTCTCGACTTAATAGGGGCTTTGTGAGTAAGTGCTCCTTGAGAAACGCCTACAAGGTGGTGATTAAGCCAAGGAGGATCTCAGAGTCACCCGAGCACTGAGGGGAAGTGACTCACGCACGCGCTCTGTAAACATTTATGAAGCATACACCTGATTTATCACCAAGTAAAAGTTCTGAGGCAGCAGGGTGGGTACCCATGCTACCCTCCATCCTCAGACTCACCAAAAGCTCATTATCTAACCAGAGTCTCTGGGTGAATTCTTCCTCAAGAAGCAGAAATCTCAATGCAAAGATCCTTGGAATGGGTTAATGGCGTGGGCATGCCGCTGACAGAGCCTCAAACAGCATCTAAAGGTCTTAGGAAATGCTAAATCTTCAAATGTCTAGTACCAAGTAAAAGAGGGGATCTAATACCAGCTCAAAATCGTATCAGTAGGGGACTGAATTGTCTATGTCCCCAATTTTCCATACATGCTTTTAGAATGTTGGAAATCCCGGCATTTCAGAGTATACCTCACATCCTGGTGGTGTTCATGATGGCACTCTATTTTTCTCCTCAGTGCTGGGGATTGAACCCAGGGCCTTGACCAAGCTCGGTGATTGTTCTACCCCTCAGCCACACCTCAGGATAATGTTCACAAAACTGAGTCATTTTCTCACCACTCCAATCAATTATTTGTTTTCATTTTTTGTATTCCTCTCCAGGATTTCTCTGTATGAATATGTGATTTTTTTGTTTGGTCGGCTTGTTTTGTTGTGTTGTTTTTCAAGACAGGGTTTCTTGGTTTCCAGGGCTGTCCTGGAACTCACTCTGTAGACCAGGCTGGCCTTGAACTCACAGAGATCTACCTGCCTTCTGCCTCCTGAGTGCTGGGATTAAAGATGTGCGCCACCACTGCCCAGCCAGATATATAATTTTTATGCATATTCCATTCCATAGCTGACACATGTTTTGGAGCCCTGCTTTTTTCTTCACATGGTGGCTGAGAGTTGACCCTAACATTACCTCATCGTCTTTATAAATGTCTGCTTATAATGACTCTACAATGTTCTACCACATAAATATATGCACAGGTTTAGGAAAAAATGCATACTTTACAGAGCTGTTGTCCTAGGTATCCCATCCTGAGTCACCTACCTCTGCTAAGAGCAGGTTCTGGGATTCGATAGCTGGTCTTATATCACTAGACACACAAACTAGAGTCATCTGAAAGGAGGGAACCTTGACAAAATGCCTCCATAAGATCCGAGTGTAAGGCATTTTCTTAATTAGTGATTGATGGGGGAGGGCCCAGCCCATGGTGGGTGGGGCCATCCCTGGGCTGATGGTCCCGGGTTCTATAAAAAAGCAGGTTAAGCAAGGTCATGAGGAGCAAGCCAGTAAGCAGCATCTGTCCACGGCCTCTGCAACAGTTCCTGCCTCCAGGATTCTGCCCTGTTTGAGTTCCTGCCCAGACTTCTTTTGATGATGAACAGCAAGCAATGTGGGGGTGTCAGCCAAATAAACCCTTTCCACCCCAACTTGCTTTTTGGTCATGATGTTTCGTTGCAGTAATAGAAACCCTAACTAGGACATGGAAAGACCCAAGACTCTCATCTGATGTTTAAAAATTGCTCAGTGACAACTGGATCCTTGGGACAAATCCTTCCTTGCCTTTTTTTTTTTTTAAATTTATTTTTTTGGATAAAGATGATTTTGGAAGAGTCAATATTTCAATTACTGACATCAATAATGCTAACAAGGTTTTGTAGCCTCTTTTCCCCAGGGAAAGATTAGGAAAGAAGCCGAGGCTTGCTGGGAAGTGAATGGAACAGAAGTCTGGGCATATGACCCAATCATCCAACCTCCAATCTGGCTCGCTTCATGGTGTTTCCTAGTTATTACTGCTGTCTGTGTTTTTAGTGGAAAATGGAGGTCACTGAAGGTTAGTGTCTAGCCAAAGTTCAAAATGCCAGCCTATGGTGAGTCTACCTGAGAATTCTTGTCTCTTGGCTCACTGCGCTGAAATGATGTCTCTCATCAGAGCACTTAGAGACACTCATCCAGAGCTGCCCCAGACTCCCACAGTTGGGCTGACCTCCCAGGCCAGGCCACAGGCTGTTTCTAGGATGGGCTTTGCTGCTCTTACTGTTCACAGTCCTTCCCGCCTAACCAAAGAAACCCAAGCTGCTCCATTCCGAAGTTACAAAGCATCTACCTACTCCTCATCCTTCAGGGATGACTCGCCATTGCCCCATGCCCACCTGCGGGACTGACCAAGAGAAAAGAAGAGAGCTCTTTGTGACTGTTCTGGGGCCCTTTGAGGTAGGGAAGCATGCTTGGCAAGGTAGTGTAATGTGAAGCATCGGGGTGGAATCAGCTGTCTGGCTTTGACCCCAGATTCTCTTTGCAGGGCTCGCAATAGCCCACGCAGGGCCTCTGTTCATATTAGGAAAGTGGGTTCCCTCTGGGTGGGTGCAGCCCTACATGGGGATCGGGGCCAGTATATCGGAGGGTGGCACCTTTCTGCGTAGTTGATGCCTTGCAAGGCTGTATGTAGCTGCTCTGCCCATCTCACGCTGTTTGGTGACTCTCAAGCTGCTCACTTTCTGAGCCTGTTACCCCATCTGTCGTAGAAACACACCAGAGTACCTACTTCAGGAGTCGCTAGAAAGTTGAAGGAGCGCTAGTGTGTAAGGCACGTCTCGGGAGTAAGCATGTATTTGACAAAATGGTAGCTGTAATTCTTAGCTGATAAAATTACGGCTTGGCTTTCTAAAGAAAAAAACGGGGGGGGGGGGGGGCTACCCTTTTCTCATGCTCTCCTGAGAAGCTTGGTTTGTCTAGAAATGTATTTTGTAAATGGAAGATAATTATGGAAAAAAGGGAGGGGCACTCATAATAGATTGCTTGTTATCATTTTAATGTTAATGGATTTTTTTTTTTTTGCTTGCACCATCTGAGGCCGGCATATCTGATATGGATTTCTAATTGCCTGTTTGGTTGGAGAGAGGGTAATTTATAAGTCCACACCCTGACACGCCCGCACCTCTAGAGAACACTTGCAGTTTCTTTGGATGTCTTCTTGGGCATCAGGATAGACGACCTCATTCGAGTCGTTGGGTGAATGTTGTTCTACGCCTGCGTGGTCCGGTGTCACAAGTGACTCATTCAAAAGCCAACACTGAGGAATGTGTCCGATTTGCATAGCCTCATAAATGAGCTTCCTCAACTGGTTTGGAAAAAAAGAAAACCCATTTTAAACAGCTGTCTTGTAGTTATTGGTCCAGGTCAGGTCCCAGCATGCTCAGGGGCGGCTCCAAGCTGTCCAAGCTTCAGGACCAGAGAGACACTGACTTTCATTGTTTAATCATCTTGGTTGGAAGGAGACACTCCTAATGTAGCCCAGGGAGGGGGAAAAAAACCTGACAGTGAATAAATAGAATAGCATTTGTGTGTTCTTAACATCACCAGAGGGCAAGGATAGACTGTAAGTTCACCTAAAATGCGATGCCTGCCTCTTCTTCATGAACTCTCATTCATTGTCTCTGGGGCACTTGGCTTTCTTAACTTAGTATGCTGCTTTCAAAGGCAGCCTGTTGTCCTTAATAACTCTGTGGTTTTCTTGCCTGGAGTAGTCCTTTCAACTGGTTTCATGGGATATTTTACAATCAAGTCACTGCACCAACAAACAAGTGTAAACTTTTGCATCAAGAACTCACCGAGAGTCTGAGGGGAGCCCCCTTGCCTTGCAACTCTAAATGAAGAGACAGAACAGCCAAAGTCCTCCCAAGAAAACCTTAACAGAGGGCTCGGGAGGCTGAGGCAGGAGGATCCTGAGGATGGGGATGGCTACATAGTGAGTCCCCGTCTTCAAACAGACAAAGAAACTCAATAAAACAAAACCAACAACAATAATTTAAAAAAAAAAAACACACCACTAACAGCAACAACAAACAGAACAACCCTTTCTCCCCCCCCCCCCCCCCCGCCGCCAAAGCAGAGAACACTGAAAAACTCAGAGACTCATTGTTAACGTGGTGGCATGCCCAACTCTGGTCCCTCAACCCCTTCTGCTCCGAATCAAATGAGATGAAAGCAAATCTGGAGATGTAAACACAGGATGGGTAACCTGAGCTGGGCCCTCAGGGCTCCAGCCTTGGCAACCGACCTGCTCCTCCTCCTCGCAGAGGTCCGCTTGCAGAAGTGAGTGCAAGCATTTGTTTTCTGGGCAGAAGAAGAGAGGAATTCTGTGTCTGGCAGAAGCGAGATGGGGAGAGTGGCCGAGGAAACCAAGGGGAGAGGATGTTATCCGCTGCCTCTTGGCCACCCCCTCCATACAGCACTCACAGCAAGCAGGCCATGTGGACTGGAAACGCTGACTCCTGGCATAGACCAGAAAACACAGATGTTTTCCAAGCATGGGGCTTTAGGGCCCAGGGTAACAAAGGCAGCCTCCCACCTCTACTTTGCTTTAAAATCTATCTCAGTCAGTGCTTTTTTTTTTTTTTTTTTAACTCGAGGCTCCCAGGGAGGCCAGAAAGCTCCCTTCTCATGTAGGACATTGTGATAACTCAGCATGAGTGACAGAGTGTCTTTCTCTGCACTCATGGGACGAGTCTGGTGAGGTCTGGGCTCTGTTGGTTAGGTCCATCACGGTCTATAAATGACTTTAACAGACTTGAGCTCATTCAGTCTCTATTCCCCGTGTGGGGAGAGTGCAGTAGAAGTGGTCGCCCAGTGGTCATAAGTCTTTTGGTGACAGAGGAAGCATGGTCTAGGCTGGGGCAGAAACCCTGGTCATCCACGAGCCTGCCTGCATTCAACAGACGATCAACTATATAAGGAACCCTGCTTCGCACCACGAGGACACATCACATCAAGTGTGTAGATATTTATCGTTTTTAACATGACTTGGCAATAGACTTTCTATGACATCACACATTGGTGTTTTGTAATGGCGTTGGTTATGGGTGCTACGTTGGTTGTGGTGTGTGAAGGACTCATTCTGATTATGTGTGCAGCTCAGAGGCAGAATGCTTGTCAGGCATGTCCAAGGCCCTGGGAAGAAAAAGAGAGGGGCGGGGAGGGGGAGATAGAGAAATCAACAAACTAAAACCCTGAACCCAACAGCAATCAAATTTCACCCTTGGAATTAGCTCAGAAGTAATAGTTGAGCGGGATATGTAGCTCCACAGTCTGATGCTTGCCTGATATGAATGGCATTCTGGACTCAGTTCCCAGTACTCCAGATCAGAGAAAAGAAGAAGTAGCAGCTATCCAGGAAGTGAAGAACTAGCTATACATGGGACATGGAAGGACTTATCAGAAGTCCTCATTTTACTTCTTAGGCTGAAAGGGAACCCCGCAGGTCAGACCATAGGCTATCTTATGGAAATGTTTATGTATTCATCCGTGCTCATCTCCCAGAACCATGTGAGGAAATCTGCAAACTCCAGAGCCCGAAGCTCAACCCGAGCCCCACTGACAGGAGTCTTTGGAATTGGAGCTCTGTTTACATTTCTTTCCCCATGCCTGTGAATGCAGCTCCGTTGGCCTAACATTGGTGAAGCTTGGGGTTAGGTCCGCGGCACCACATACGACCTAGTGTAGTGAGTAGTACACACTTGGGACCCCAGCACCTGGGAAGTTAGAGAAAGGACAGTCAGGAGGATCGTCAGTGGTGGACTATATAACACCCCATCTTTAAAGGGGAGGGGAAAAAACCCTCCAAAATTTAATACGTACCAGAGTTAATTTAAGGAAAACCCAAGGAACCTGGAGCCTCTGCAAAAAGCAGGAAATGCCCTCTAGTGGCCAAAAGAAACCATGACCCATTGCCCATGATGGCTTCTTAGGGAGAAGGGAGTTCACATGTCTGTGGTAAAGCATCTTCTACTTCACCAATTCTACCGAAACGCCAGAAAATTAAGCTATAAGACCCATTGGTGAGGGAACCTTGTTCTTGTCTTGCCCCTGAGGGCACCCACCATGGTGCCTGGCCCAACGTGGTATAAAGACCCAAGACTAAGGTTCGGTATTATACTCGTCCTTGACGTCTGGTGAAATCAGGAGGGGCCGAGCTCTCCTTTTCTTATCAAACTGGGTAGGTCGACACAGTTCTTACTTATTTCTGCATAATGGGCTCCCTGCTAAACCATAGAATTACTCCAACAAGTCAGTCACATCATCCTGGGAGACTCGCCCGCTTGACATGACAAATCCTCCACGTAACTCGGTTGTTCACCCTGTTCCCAAGTGTAGCCGCTGTGTGGCCCTGCGTGCCGAACAAACAGCATGTCCTACCCTTGGGCTGTGAGTACAAGTGACTAATGTGTTATCGGTCCCATCTGCACAGTGCAGCCTTGTGTGTGGCCCGCCAGCCTCATGACCCTAGTGTGAGAATTGCTCTCTCGCCACGGGATAAAGGAAGAGCCCCATGAAATATTCATAAAAAAGATGGCTCGTGGGTGTTTGTTAAATGGGAGGATGAGAGAGACCAAAGGTCTCTCAACAAGTGTAACCATCATTTTCATTTTGCTGAGTTATTGTTCGTTCAGGAAAACTCTGGAAAATATTATAGACACAGATTAATAAGGGAGTGAATAAACATGTCTTTGGGAGTGTGTGAGTGTGTGCAGGGACAAGGGCCTGAGGATGCCCATGCAGAGCCCAGATGTTGATATATGAAGGCTTCCCTTCCCTTATCATTCTCCATCTTCGTCTGTCTGTCTTTCTGTCACTGTCTGTCTGTCTGTACGCGTGTATGCGCAGGTGTGCATACCTGTGAGCGTGGAGACCAGAGGAGGGCGTTGGGCATCCCTCTCCTGTTACTCTCCTCCTTTCTCCTTTGAGGCAGGATCTCTAGCTGAACGTAGAGCTTGGTTTTGTGTTTGTTTTGTTTTCTAGCGAGGCTGGCAGCCAGCGAGCCACGGCAACCCTCCTCCCTCTGCTCACTGCACGCGGAGGTTACAGGCGAGCATGGGAGCCCACCCAGCTAGTTGCGTGAGTGCCAGGATCCAAACGCTTTTCCTTATGTTTGCACTGTTGAGCCGTATCTCTGGGATCTCTCTACCTTATTTGAGACAAGGTCTCTCCCTGAACCCAGGGCTCACCAGTTTGGCCAAACTGGCTAGCCATCCTGCTTCTGGAAGCTGCCTGTCTCTGTCTCCCTAGTGTTAATGTTATAGCATGCACTGCCATGTCCAGCCTCATACCTGAGGGCTAGGGAATCTGAGCTCAGCTCTTTATCTTCTCTATGAGCCACCTCTTCTCATCTTATTTCTAGGAGCGTTATTGCCTGGAGGAGACCATGAATTCCTTAAGGAAAAAGACTGTTTTGATCCATTTGAGCTCTTCATAGTTCAGCACAGAACTCACAAGAGGACATGTCTATTTAGTACGGTGAATGAATATACAGGGATAACGTGGGTTTCCCTGGAGTACTTGCTAGTTTGTGGTACCGTAAGCACTCAATCCAGAAACCAGCCCAGCAGATGTTCATCAAAGTCCTCCATCAAATAGTGTCTTGGTAGATGCACTGACAGTGGAGGAGGGACCTACGGCTAAGGGTATAAAGATGGCAAAGATACAGTCCCTGTTCTTTTGTTTAAATGGTTTTTGTATACTGAGACAGGACCTCAATAAGTAGCCCACGCTGGTCACAAATTCACTGCGGTCTTCCTGTTTCAGCTTCCAAATGCTAGGATTATAGGCATGTACCGCCATGCCTGGTGCAGTACTTGCCCTTAAGGAGTGGGATGGTTATCCTCTGGATGAGGACTGTCTGCATTGTGCCTGTGGGGCTGTCTATGGAGTGGGGGTCGCCTCCATTAAGTTAATTCATATGGGAAGAGCCAGCCTGCTGTGGGTGGCACCACTCCCTAGGCAGAGGGAAAGTGGAAAATTTGAGATGAACACAAGCAAGTAAGAAAGCAAGCAGCATGCCTGCATTCATGTCTCTACTCTTGACCACTGTACGTGTGCAAGTTCCGGGCCTGACTTCCCCACAATGGGGGGCTAGAACTGGAAGCCAGATTAACCCTTTCTTTCCTCCTTTGTCGGAGTGTCTCACCACAGCAGCAGACGTGGAATTACGACAGGGAGCACACACGCTGCAGTGCCTGTCAGGCACGAGGCAACTGAAGTTGCAGGCGCAGTTGTGTAAGCCCGTTGGCCACACTTCAAGTGTTTTAGTAACTACGCGGGGACTAATGTCTGCCATGCCGGACAACACAAATACAGAATTCCTTGATTATTATGTAAAGTCCCATTGGATCTGACTCTTGCAGAAGCAAATCTGGTGTTGTATTATAGTCAGAGGTGTGATAACAGAGGTATGCGTCAATGGCCATGAGGTCAGGATGAATGGGTTTCAAGGTCAGCCCTCACTTGATCCCAGATCCTTCAGTGACTTGGATTCTTGGGTTCCTCACTCTGAGCATGTATGTCTGCTCAGAGGCTCCACCCAAGATTACCGAGTGAAAAGAAAACACTCACAGCGGTCATGACTTCCCAACATTTCAAAAATAGGGAAACATCAAGAATAACTTGGGCGTTATGGGTGGCTCCACAGCCCACCTTGTAAAATGTCACCATTCTGTCGTTTTTGTTTCAGATTTTACATCAGCTTGAGAAAATAAACCACAGACATATTTGTATCTCCTATAGTCTCTGTCCATGCTGGCAAAGTCCTGGTGGACCTTGAATTTGGTGTTTGCCCATTCCATTCATGTTTGCTTAGACTTTTCATCTAAGATGGGATCTGCAAAAAAACACAGGTGACCGTTTTCGTCTTTTGTTAAAAGGACACACGATTTATTCCAGCTTATACTTTGAGGTTTTCATCTATGTTTATCTGGCCTGACTGCCTTGGAGCCTGAGATGAGGTGGCACATCATAGCAGAGCATGTGGCCAAGGAAATCGGCTCCCCTCGTGGCAGTCAGAGACTTGTTCTGTGTCTGTTTTCAGACTTAAGTAGGATCACACTGTGTATATCCTTTGACAACGTAATTTTTTTCCTTAACGTTGTTTAGGAGTTTTGTGTAGGTATGTGTCGTTGTTTTGAGACATGACCATGCTGTGTAGCCCAGGCTGGCTCAGAACTAGCCATCCTCCTGCCTCAGCTTCCAGAATGAATAATAGGTTCACAGAATTATGCCACCACGCCTGAATTAACACTTTATTTTGAAGTTGTATTCGTGTTGATGGCTGACAGGATGGCTTGAGGAATAAGGGTTCTTGCCATCAAGCTTGATGATCTTAGTTCTGTTCCTGGAACCCACATGGCAGAGGGAGAAAAACAACCCCCCAAAGCTGACCTCTGACCTCTTGACCCATGCCAAGTACGCTGGTTAGTTTTTTTGTCAACTCGACACAAACTAGAGTTATCTTGGAAGAGGGGACCTCACTTGAGAAAATGCCTCCATCTGACCAGCCTGTCGGCAAGCCTCTGGGTACGTTTTCTTGATCATTGCTTGATGTGGGAGGACCCAGGCCACTGTGGGCTGAGCAAGCCATGGAGTACACAGTGTTCCTCCATGCTCTCTGCTTCAGTTTCTACCTCCGGGTCTCTTTCTTGAGTTGCTATCTTAAATTCCCCTCATGATGGACTCTAGGCTATAAGATGGAATAAACCCTCTCTGCTCCAAGTCGCGTGGAGTCCCAGCAAGCTGGTACACCATGGTGCACCCCTATAAATGTAAAAAAAAAAAAGATGCACCCATGTGTAAACACACAGTGCTAGTGAGTTCCTTATAACCACCACAGCCCGCTTTATTGTGTTAACTCTGCCACTATTTATCTGTTTTACCTGTGATGAAGATCTGGCCTCTTTCCAGTTTATACAATTGCCCACAGAATTGCAATGAGCATTCTGGTATTTTCTTACGCAAACATGAAGATCATATTCCTAGTAGGGTTTCGAGGCCTGTGATTATGCACATCTTCGGCTATTCTAAATATTGAAAAATTGGTTCCTGAGGGGATGGACCAATTTATACTCCCACTAGCACTGTGTGAGTATTCTCATTCTCCTCCATCCTCGTTGACATGCAGGCATTCACTCTCTGCCAATCTGATAAAGGGAAGTATGTTGTAGTGTAGTATTCCCTAGGCTGCCAAAGATGGCAGGACAAGGCAAAATGTGTAATAGCTACGGCACTGAGAAGAGAGGAAGAGTAACAGGGTCAGTAGGTTTCTGTGTTGTGGTGAGAAACTTGTCACTAGGACCACAGAGGTAACCGGCCTTCAAGCCCAGCAAAACTGTGTAAGAAGAGTGTAAGACAGTTGTGCATCTTAAACCTTCTTGCCAGTGCTGGGCACAACACAAGAACTTGTAAAGAGGACTTGACCATCAGAACACGTCCAGGACACCTGCAATGTGTTGTAAATTTCCCAGCACACAGAGTCACATCTACATCCGTCCTATTCAGGCTCTTCTCTCTCTCTGCTGCTTTGTCGTAACCTAATTTCTGATGGGAGATACTGCTGGCAAGTGGGGAGCTGTGCAAAATGGGTTGTCTGTTGGTGGGAAATCTTAGCAAGCCAGAGGATTGCCATCTCACTAAGAGGTGACGAGTGTAGGCTCTGTCGTGAACTCTTGGGTCTGCCTAATTTGTGTAGATTCTCTAAGAGCTCGAAGCACCGAAAATAATCCCATAATTTAGGAACATAATACCATTTGATCTTGACAAGATTTTCCAGTATGATTCTAGCTAATACTCAAGGGACTGAAAGGAACCAACCTAGAAGAGCTTTGCAGCCTGGGGCAATGGGAAACACCCCTGGCTCCATTTTTCCTGAAGTAGTTCTTTGATGGAAATGAAGTGTTTCTTCGCAACCTTTCATTATGGCTGGTATAGTCATGGGAGATTTGGGATAACGCCGATTTTACCTGTGTGAAATCCTCCCAGAATACTAACTTGAAAATTTTAAAGAGACAAAAGGTCTGGGAATGTTCTTGCCCCTTTCCGTGAACCAGGGACTTGTCACAGAGAAGGGGGGGATCAGTTAGACTCTGCAGCCAACAGAGATCAGAAGAAACGTTTGAGACTAGAGCCCAGATGGACCAATTGCATTCTGTTTGATGCTCCGAATTCAACCTTTCATTTTCTTTTTTCATGAAGGAAGATTTATGTCATCTATGGTGTTCTTTGAGGATAATGGCATTTAGGGGAAAATTTATCTTCTTAAAATAAGCAGCCATGCTCCTTCAAAAGGCTGGTTGTCAGTTTCTTCCACGACCTTCACAAGCAGTGATGCCACAGCTGAGATTCCACAGTGGAGCAGACCATCGCGGAATGCTAATGGACATTTTCCCCAGGAGATGAAGGGAAAATTGTACTTGTAGTTTCTTTGGAAAAGCATGCAATTTAGGTGCATTAAAGTCTCAAATTAAAGGCTGAAAACTGTATTAAAGTTAATGACTTTGACAGTAAACTACGTCGGCTCAAATCTTATTTTCTGCCATCGAATAATTTCCTCATCCTCACTGTATCTTCATTTGATCATGGGCACGATGAGGCTAGATCACTCTGGAATTCATCAACTCAAATAAGGTCTTCTACTTGTCAGTGATTATCCTTGATGCCAAGGCGAGAGGTGTGAGTAAAATAAAGCCTCTATTCTCACGGCTTTCCTTCTAGTGCGGAGGGCGAAACAAATGAATGATCGTTGGACCAATCGGAATCACATTTCAATCTTGCTGCCTTGGAAAGGGCAGCCTGGGAAGGCCTGGGCAGGTGACGTCTGAGCTGGTTTGTGAATGACTGAAGGGAGCCTGTAGCACGAATCTTAAATGGTCTTATTAATAAAAAGCTTAGTAGTGTGCACAATATTTTGGGGAACACAATATCACCACAGGAGCCCACTCTGAGAAAGCGATGAGATGGGATCTAAGAAAAGGGGAAAAGAAAAGAAAGGACCAACATCTAAACCAAACTGGAGTGCCTGAAGAACAGAAGGAAGGCCAGGCGGCTAGAGTGATGGAGGACAGAGGCAGAGAAGGAATCGAAACCACAGAGAAGAGTTTGCATTTATTCCAAGTACAACAGGAAGCCATTAGACTGTTGATGTGATTATTTTTACCACGTTTATCTGGAGTCTATAGCCTGATGTTTTTATACACCTATGCATAGTAAAACTCTTTAAAATAGTCAAACAAATGTGTGTGTCCATCACCTTCCACGGTTACTAATATGTGGATGTGGATGTGTTAAGAGCACCTAAAATACTTTAGGGGCTGGAGGGATGGCTCATTCAGGCAAGTGTTTGCCAATCAAGCATGACAACTTGAGCCTTAAAAGGCAGGCATGGTGGTGCATGCCAAGAGCACCAGCATTGGGAAGGCAAAATGAGGCAGATCCCGGCGGGCTTGCCAACCAGCTAGTTTAGCCAAATCAGTGAGCTATGTGTGCAGTGAGAGACACTCTCAGAAAACAAGATGGAGAGTGATTAACAAAGGCATCTGATGTTGATTTCTGGCCTACACACACACACACACACACACACACACACACACACACACACACACACACACACACACAATGTGCACACACAAGAACATATACCTCACATATGCATTCTCTTAATTTTAGAGGCATCTAGGCAGTGGTACCAGACCCTGGGCTCATTGCATGAGTTAGCCTTTTGAAACCTGGGACTTACGCAGGGATGCTTGGCTCAATCTAGGTGGAAGGGACTGGACCTGCCTGGACTGAGTTTACCAGGTCGATCTCAGTCCTCAGGGGAGGCTTTGCCCTGGAGGAGGTGGGAATGGGGGGTAGGCTGGGAGGAAGGGGAGGGGGGCAGGAAGAGGGAGAACAAGGGAATCTGTGGCTGTTATGTAGAACTGAATGGTATTGTAAAATAAAAAAATTAAATTAAAAAAAATTTTTAGATCTAATATTATTGATATGGTAATTGTGATATGCATCACACACCTAGACTTTTTCACACTAACAACTGCAAGGTGTATACTTTGACTTTCTTTTCCATCCTCCCCCACTCCCAGTAACTATGGCTCCAATTTGTTTCTATTTGTTGAATTTTTTTCACATAAGATTCTCCATTATGTGAGATCATCAGGAAAATGCAAATCAAAGCCACCATGAACTACCACCTCACACCTGTTAGAATGACTGTCATCAAAAAAGTGGAGGGATAACACGTATTGACAAGCTTGTGGAGAGAAGATAACCCACGTACACTGCAGGTGGGAATGTAAATTGGTGCCGCCATTATGGAAAACTGTATGGCAATTCCTCAATCTAACTGGAACCGACAAAGGAACGCACAAAGAAATTATTAAATATGTGCATATATTATGTGAATATTACCCAGCATTTTGAGGGGAGATAATGCAGTCTACGACAACATGGCTAAATCTGAAACTAGATAAGCCAGCACAGAAACACCAATTTTGTGTGACCTCACTGGCACATGGAATCTAAAATGAAGAGTGGTTATGTGTTTAAGAGGCCGTTTGGGTTCTCCTGGGAGAAGAAAACAGTCAAGGAGTTAGGAACACCTTGTAAGAGAGAACACTAAGCTACCCACCAGGGACTGAGGGTCCGGGCTGGGAGAGATGGAGAGAGAAGGGAGTGGATGTGGAATCTGTGTTGGAGGTAGACCTTCAGGACGTGGCGGCCAGTTGCAGATGAGGACTAGAGAGAGGGGGTGATGGCCACTTCTGAGCTTTCAGGCCTGACCAACTAGGCCCATGGCTGTGACAGCCATTTGGTCATTTATTGTCGTTGGTTCCAAATGTTTCTGACTCTGCTTTGAGACGAGAGGGGACAGCAAAGTAGGAACTCCTCACTGCCTTGCCTGCTGATTCTTCGCTGGGCTCTGCCATGTTTAATGTACAGAACAGTCATGAACGTGACAAAATGACAGTGCGGACAGCAAGGAGGGCGAGCCGGCCTTTTGCCTCTTCCTCAGAGTTTGCACAGTGGTCTGCTCCCATCTCACCTCTTAGCAATCTCTTTATAAAGAACTGCTTCATTCTTTTTGTGATTCTTTCATTCAATGGACACAAAAGCCGGGTTCAGTGGTACCGCACTTGCCCAGCACGCACGAGGTCCTGGTTTCAACCTCAGAACGAAAGATAGAAAGAGAGGTGGGGGGAAGGTAGGTGGAGGGGGAGAAGGAAGAGGGGGAAGGAGGGAAAGAGAGAAAAGACAGAGGAGGAGAACAGAAGGAAAGAAGGAAGAAGGAAGGGATGGAGGGAAGGAAAGAAGGAGGGAGAGAAGGAGAGATAGAGAGAGGGAGGGAGGGAGGAGGGGGAGAAATGGAGGGAGGGAGGAAGGAAAGGAGGAAAAGAGGGGGAGAAGGAGGGAGGGAGAGAGGGAAAGAGAGATGGAGGGAGGGAGGGAGGGAGAGAGAAATAGAAGGATGGAGGGAGGGAGGAAGGGAGGAAAACTTGCATGAATGTACTAAGCATAATAACCTCTGATGTATCTGGGTTGTGCATCTGAAGAGAGCAGCTGAGACCAAGGGAAAAGGTGGCTTCAGTCACCATAGAGAACAAAGAAGTGAAGAGCGATAAGAGGCAAGTGAGCTGAGGACCCCCCTACTCTCCCCCCTCCCCGCTGCTCCCCTCTCCCCTCCCCACCACTCCCCTTGCCCCATCCTGCCCCTCCCCACCCCGTCCCCAGAGTCAAACTTTGAGAATGCTCAGTGATTCCTTCAAGATTTAAAAATGATCCTGGAGCCAAGTCCTCAAAAAGAGTCTGATCTGAATGTTGGGCAAAGTTCTGCACTAAAAACAAAACAAAAAGAAACATCTGGTTTCTGGGTGTTAGGGAGGCCAATGCCTGAGAATCCACAGGCAGACGCGAGAGGCAGCCTGACGTGTAGTTCTAATCAGTGTGCAGGTAAGTCTAATGTCAGTGACACTCAGTGCTACTGAGAGTGTCCATGACAGCACCAATAGGCGATTCTTAGGCAGAGTTCGGCACCCTTATTTCTAGGTACACCCTACAACGAGCAATGCAGTCTCCTCTGTGATGCCAATGGTATGCGACAGCCACGCCTGTGAGCTTCCGAGAGCAGACGGATACAGTTTTATAAAGTTTATCGGCCAGTTGTTGAACACAGTCATCATTAAAAATCAAATTGCCTAAACATACAATTAAATAAGTTTAACTAAGAACAAAAGTTAGAAATCCTCCAAACTTACTGTGTTCTAATTCTTTTCTTATGTTTTATTACCATCTCTAACATTGAGGCTGTTTCTTGAATCTGTGTAAAGAAATGCCAGATAATGATGTGCTACCTAAAATTTCTTTCAAACTCTGAGTAGTGATGTCCCAGTGATAATTTGAAATAGTTATGGTGAAAATACTTACATCCCAGAAATAGGCAAATACTGTAACTTAAGGCTCAATATATTACCTTGTACTCTACCCGTGAAAGGTAATGTCGATTTATTTTGTACAACTAATATATGCTGATACATTCTAATAAAACAAGACAAAGAACGTGATACTGACAATATTAATGATGCTGACTAAGTTTTAAAGTGTCTATACCTGTTACATTGTGACTATCACAAACCAACAGCAGAACGTTTTGCTACTGTAGTATTTGAAATCGTACCTCATTAAACAAAGGTTTACTTGTGCCATTAATGAACTAGTAAAGTTTCAACATGTCTCCATTGTTTCATTTCCATCTTATTCATTGGTACAGATGCAAATATCAACTAAGGTTCACATCTGAATGTACTCATTCATCACTAATGAGAGGGACTTCTTTGCTGAATTGGTGAGAAGTCAAACTTTTATTCAGTCTTATTTCACCGAATTAGTTTATTTGCAATTTATAAGTTGGCTATAAATATAATTTTGGCAAGAAAAAATCAGTAAATCTTTCCTTAAGAATCAATTGGCTATAATTAAATTTATAATGAAGAATGCTATATAATCATTAGCTGTAAATTGTGGCTACACAACCTTTATAATAGTAAGACTTTATAATAAATATATGCATATCTCTCTTCTTTCACAGAACCTGGTCATCAAACATTTTCCAGGACATCACTACCACAACCGACACATTCACATAATACTTACACTTACCCTACATACCTTCTGAGACTCTGTATTATTTCATTAAAGATTGACTGATGTTTTGGGTTCTCGAATAATCAATTTCACAGCCTACCAAATGCTTATGATCTGAAGTTTGTAGACATCTTGTTGGAGAGGTCATCCACTGACGGTTCTGAGGTCACTTTTGGAAGAGATGTTCTTGGGGATGGTGATCCAGTGTCCTATTTTATACTGAGAGCTTAATAGAAACTCAAGAGATATGAAGCAGGAAAAAAAAAAAAAAAGACAAACCACCCACATCAAGGCAGAAATGTACATCTGAAAACAGGGCTTTAAAATACAGACAGTTTGGCAACTTTGTCACGGTAACACATGCCTGTATTTCAGCTTTTGTACTGAAAGCCTTCTCTGTAATTAAGAGCCTGTCGTTCCTAATAATACTTACACATCCATTACTTACATCCACGGAGGTGACATTATTGTGGATTACTCTAAATGCTGGTCATCCGCCCCAGTAGATCAGGATTGTTGCTGGCACACTCACAAAGTCTGCCATTGGTAAAAGACTTCAACACTTACAGAAAATGACAGCTGGTATGAGTCCACCTGACCACGCTGCTAAAAATAATGAAATGTGTTAGGATAGCCACAAAGCTTAAGGGGGGTGAACGGAACAAGCCTTCTCTAGTTCTCCTGCATTAAAGAGGCAATCTATCACTAAATTCATGTGTAGGGACCAGAAAGGGGCTCACTGCTTTTGAAGATTTTGACAAGTCCTTGGGGAAAACAGCCTCCCGGAGGTAATATGTGGTCTTATGACAATGTTAACCAGCAGGTCCTGGTAGAATCCCTGTCACTGTAACAACCCACGGAGAGCTCAGTAAATGGCTGCAGGTGTCTCGCCTCTTGGGCAGCCAGAGTGATGGAGCCAATGGTAACAGAGTAGCAAAGGTTGAGAAAGCAAACTGTGTTTTCTCTAAATCTGTATAGAAACTTTGATTTAAAAAAAAAAAAAGAATGACTCCTAACCTTTCTGGGGGATGAAGTCCTTTGAAAAGCATGGCCTCTCTATAAAGATCTCTTCTCCGATAATGAATGCACGCGAATGCATGCACTACAGAGTATCTGATGTCTCCGCTGATATCCGCTCCTGGTTAAAAATCCCTGCTTTGGAAACTCAGTTCAGTTGGTCAAAGTGCAGAAGGTAAGTGTCCGTGGACATTCAGCTGTAGATGGGCACCTGAATCACCATTCTGCCACCACCACCAAGCCTCAGGGACCACCACATAGGGTGGGCAGAAAGACGGTAAAAGCCTGAGGCCAAGGATGACCATATCCTATCTTCTGGACACGACCAAACTACCGCACTCATGAACTCACAGGAGCTGTGATTACCTACATGAGTTCCACACCAAAGCAAGCCGGTCAATGTTCCCGCATGGAGGAGGAGGGGCTTACCAGCCCCCACATGTAGCTGAGGAGCTATTGGCAATTGATGGCTTCTGGTGGGAAAAAGAGTCAGTCTTCTGTACAGGCATGACCCCTGGTAGGTAGCCCATGCCCTTTGGAATGGCCCCCCATATCCATCAGTATCTAAGTGGCACAAAGAGGACTCAGTGGGTTACAAAAAAAAAAGAAAGAAAGAAAGGAAGGAAGAAAGAAAGAAAGAAAGAAAGAAAGAAAGAAAGAAAGAAAGAAAGAAAGAAAGAAAGAAAGAAAGAGAGAAAGAAAGAAACAGAGGACCTGAAGTTGGGAGGGCTGAGGTGCTGGAGGGTAGATTTGGAACGAGTTAGGAGAGAGAAAGGTCACCATAAAGATGTGGGAGATAAGGGGGTGACTCGTCAGGTAAAAGCATTTGCTGCCAGGCCCTACAGCCTGAGCTCTACACCCAGAACCATATGGTGGAAGTCAATAATCCACTCCCAAACATTGTCTTCAGATCTCCACGTTCACATTATGGCACATGCCTGGCCCTCTACACACACACACACACACACACACACACACACACACACACACACACACACTCACTAAAAGTTAAAATAAAATAAAAGGTTTAATAAAGATGCAGGGATGAGCTAGGTATTGTTGAAAGATTCCTGTGCACTCAGCGTGTGGGAGGCTGAGGCCGATGTATGGTAAGATATCTATCTGCGCTACATAGTAAGGTCCTGTCTCAAAAAAAGAAACAAACAAACAAACAAACAACAACAACAACAAAAAAACCCAAACCAACCAAACAAAAAACCCAACCAACCAACCAGCAACAAAGAACACCACCACAGCCAACAAAAGACCCAGGGAGTGGAAGAGACCATAGGATTCTGCCCAAGTGCAGACGTGAAGTGGTGGCGGAGTCTTCCAGTCCCCAGGATCTATCACTGCTCCTATTTCTTAATACAAACAATCAATATTTTCTATATAGCATGCTAGGGCAAAAGGAGAAAACTCAGGGTCTTGTTCATGCTAGGCAAACACTCTATCCCTGAAATATATGCCCAGCCCAAGCAATTTTGAGAAAAATCCTCCTTTTAACTCGTTCCCATTTGGAAGTGTGAAGAGCTGCCGTTGACGGATCCTGAGCTAAACCCTCAACCCTCCACTCTTAGCCTAAGATTCACAATGAAGACGAGCTATAAATGCCCTCCTGCCTCTTCCCTCAAAGTGAGAGTTAAAGGGTGGGCAGACTGAGGGCCAACACGCCATGCCAGCTTCCAGCTAACAAACTCATTTGGTGTCAACGATCCACAGAAAACAAAATAGTGTGACATCCAAAAGCCTGGAGACCTCGCTGGCTGTCTTTCCAAAGCGGAGCAGAAGCTCAGCTTTCATTCTGGGACCCCAGATCTGCTCGGTAGTCAACTGGAAAAGAACACCCAGCGTAACTCAGGGAGGAGGGCACTCCTAGCGGAAGGCTACGGTTGCTGTCCTTTGGTTCGGACCTACTGATGCATGGCACCTTCCATTGTCTCTGGATTGTCCCACTGTGTTGAACATCAAATAACCAGCTGGCACCAGGCAAGTTAGACATCTTAAAAACAGACATTTTAGACTTCTAAATAAGCTGCCCTACGGGTTGTAAACCACAGGACACAATGCGTGATGGCCATCTTCCCTCTCACTTCGTATTTGAAGTGTCATGTTTTGGTTCCAGCCCCTGGGTCTCACAAAGGGCGGGAACACCACCGTAAATGGATATAGCTGGGAAACATTAAGAATAAACACTTGTTGAAAAAAACATATGCCTTTTATCACGAATTCCTGTTTCCGAGACTCTGGAGTAATGCAGAACATGCTTGAAGCTTGTTACACTGTAAATACGATGGCTCTTGCCCAATTACACATAAATTTACCCCCCCCCCCCCCCGCAAAAATCGATGAATTTTATTTTAAATTGATGGGATATATATATATATATATATATATATATATATATATATATATATATCTTTAGTCTTCAGGTTTCTCTATGGTTGTGTAGGTCAGTGAGTACAATGAATTACAGAGAGTGTAAAGAGATGGAATCCGAGATTCACTTTAAAACACTTAAGTAGATACTCATGGCCGATATAAGAAACAAGGACAAATTGCAGATAACTGTGAAAGTTGGGGGGGGGCTGATATAGGGAAGGCTCTCGTACTTTTTATTTTTGTTTGAAATAAAATGCATTTCAATAATTACTTGAAGAAAATCTGCCAGGAATAGTGATTAAGCATTAACATCTAAAAGCCCTATAAGGCTAAAGAGAGGGCTCAGATATTTAGAGCACTGGCTGTTCTTGCAGAGAACCCAGGTTCAATTCCCAGCACCCACACTGTGGCTCACAACCATCCACAGCTTCAATTCAAAGGATCTAGCATCCTCTTCTTACCTCTGCATCACCAGAAATACATGTGGCACACATAGGCATTTGTACACATAAAATAAATGGTTAAAAAAACGAAAACTCCTGGACGCACTGACCTAGATCCCCCCTCTCTCTATCTCTCTATATCTATCTCTCTATATCTATCTATCTATCTATCTATCTATCTATCTATCTATCTATCTATCTATCTATCTATCTATCATCTATCTATCTATAAACAGATATGTAGTTAGACACATATTATGTAACATGAAAGTAGAATGGAAGAAAACAGGTAATGGGCTAGGGAGGTAAATATAGGAAAGTCTCATGATGCATGTATATGCAAACCTCGTAAAGTAAGTCAGCATTTTAAGACAGCAAGATGTCTTGGCAGTTAAAGGCTAATGACTTGAGTCTGTTCCCCAGAACCCACATAAAGCTGGAAGGCGTGGACTGACTCAGAATTCTAAGTTATTCTCTGGCCTCCACATAGGCACCATGGGACACATTCGAGCCCCCTGCCCCCTGCCCCCAATAATAAATAAAATAAAAATGAAATTATTTTTTACACTAATCACAACTCCTAAACACCAGAAGTCATAGACAGAAGAGCATCTGATCAATCTTGCTGGTGTACTTTGGTTAAAAGGAAAAACAATGTATGTCTGAATTCAAACAAAGGGAGTCTTCCAAAATTTCACACACTTTGACTTGGTTAAATTGTTAGGTGGAACGCAGCTGGAGGAAGAATGGACCAAGAGATGAGTGGAGAGCAAGTTGTCTGTTCTACTCTCCTACCAAAAGGTGTGGGAGGGAGCCTTGGGAAAGGAGGTTGGGAGCGTCCATGGGTGGGGCAGAAGGTAGCCAAGAGAAAGGATGTTAAGAGCGGTGGTGCACACCTTTAATCCCAGCACTTGGGAGGCAGAGACAAGCGGATCTCTGTGAGTTCGAGGCCAGCCTGGTCTACAGAGTGAGCTCCAGGACAGCCAAGGCTATACAACACATTAAGAATGATAGGGAAATCAGGGAAGACAGAGGCAGAGAGGGAGAACCTGACCTCCCTCTTCTTCTTGGGGAGTTTTCACAAAGGTTCCTACTCAGCTCTACAGTGTGATGCTCCGGGTTCAGAAGGAGCCCCTGCCCTGTGGTAGCCCCAAGAATGGGGCACTGCCCCTGTCAGCTCCTATAAGGAAGACAAGCAGTTCGTCTCTTTCTCATGGGGCTTAGGTAGAGGGGCTTAGTTATGTAACCTGCACAGAGAAACACGATCCAGCCGCTTTGGAGATTAATTGCAAAGGCCCATCCTGAGGTGCACAAAGAAAGGCTAAGTCTTACTAGGGCCTGGAGACTCACTGAGTACCTGTCTAGGGCAGGGTGCTGAGAAAGCCCCGGCACAGAGGGTAAGCAAGATATCCCCACCTCTCAGTGTACCTCGCTATTGCACGCTATGACTTTATTTCCTTATCCAATGTCACTGACAATGAGGAAGAGCCCCAATGTCCTCCAGGACCCCTCATTGCCTCCTTGTACAAAGACGTCTTTTGTCAGGACAACAGAGGGAGAA